TCCTGCCCCAGCTGGCTTTGAACTGTGATCCTCAGGTCTGTTTCCTGAGTTGCTAGGATGACAGGCGTGAGCCACCGGTGCCTGGTGAGCCTACTACTCTTAATCTCACAAAAACTCACATGGCTTTCTCTTAATTCAATTTATTACTTCAATTAATTAAATTGAATTCAATTTAATTAAATTCAAAGTATTTATTTTCAACAATATTCCCAACACACCATGTCAGGTGATGTGATCATCAATGATACTGGCAAAGTCCTTTTTTAAAGAAGCACTTAAGTAAATAGGAAATAGTTAATAAGAAAATAAGACAATTTAAAGAAAAATAGTAAATTAATAATAAAAGGAGGACATGGCACTTGCAAACAACTAAAGGCTGTTATGAACTACTGAGACTTAGAAAACTTTTGTTCTTTGCACATGTAATTTACAAATCTGATTTATAAAGATACCTGTGTCCGATTTTGAGCTAGTTAGAAATTCTTGCAGAAATTCTCAGTGGCTACATGCAGTTTCCACTACGTGGTCTTTAAAAGCGCTGCCTGTGCTATATGTTCATACATACTAAATCGTTCTAATATGGTTAGAAAAAGAGCTTGATGTCCCAATGCGAGTTTCATCCATGCAACAGTCTATTAAAGAGAGCAGTGTAAGCCATGAAACCCCAAGGGTTGGTTTTCCTATTCAATGAAGGTAAACACATGAATGGAAAACATCAGTAAAACCGATGCAGTTCTAGGGAGAGCTGCCACAGCGCTCGTGGTCATTTCCGGTGTTTGCCGGGTGTGGCCCGCTCTGAGGAGGCTCCACACCGACCGCATGGGCCTTACCAAAGGCTGCGGGTGCGGCCCGGGCTGGGGACTGGGGGCCTGGCTGGGGGCTGGGGGCCTGGCTGGGGACTGGGGGCCTGGCTGGGGGCTGGGGGCCGGGCTGGGGACTGGGGGCCTGGCTGGGGGCTGGGGGCCGGGCTGGGGACTGGGGGCCTGGCTGGGGACTGGGGGCCTGGCTGGGGGCTGGGGGCCGGGCTGGGGACTGGGGGCCTGGCTGGGGACTGGGGGCCTGGCTGGGGGCTGGGGGCCGGGCTGGGGACTGGGGGCCTGGCTGGGGACTGGGGGCCTGGCTGGGGGCTGGGGGCCGGGCTGGGGACTGGGGGCCTGGCTGGGGACTGGGGGCCTGGCTGGGGGCTGGGGGCCGGGCTGGGGACTGGGGGCCTGGCTGGGGGCTGGGGGCCGGGCTGGGGACTGGGGGCCTGGCTGGGGGCTGGGGGGTGCCGCTGGGGTTGCTGGGTCTGAACAAGAAGAGAGGTAACCGTGGGGAGGCGGGATCAGTGCACAGTGCTCACCCAGCGAGCGGAGGCCTGGGCTCCATTCCTCAGCGCCACAGACACTGAAAAATCTGGACGTGGAGCTGTGGCTCAAGGGGTAGAGCGCTCGCTTGAGCACAAGAGGCTCAGAGACGGCGCCCAGGCCCTGAGCTCAAGCCCCAGGATTGGCAAAAAAAAAAAAAAAAAAAAAAGAAAAAGGAAGAAGTAGATACAATCTCTGAGTCCCAGAGTCCATTGTCCCCACACATATTTTATTCAATGATTATTCCGTTTACACAAAAAATGTGGAACCTAAAACTGGGCAGACATTCTCAAAAATATGGCTACTAGTCCATCTTGGAACTGTGTGCATAGACTATAGAAAGCTCTACTACATGCAGAGGGTGTGTGTGTGTGTGTGTGTGTGTGTGTGTGTGTGTGTGTGTGTGTGTGTGTGTGTGTGTGACCTGTTACAGACAGACTAACACAGCTCCCTTCAGCGTCTCACAGGGTGGACGTCTGAGCTCTCTCTCTCTGTCAGTGTCTCACAGGGTGGACGTCTGAGCTCTCTCTCTCTGTCAGCGTCTCACAGGGTGGACGTCTGAGCTCTCTCTCTCTGTCAGCGTCTCACAGGGTGGACGTCTGAGCTCTCTCTGTCAGCGTCTCACAGGGTGGACGTCTGAGCTCTCTCTCTCTGTCAGCGTCTCACAGGGTGGACGTCTGAGCTCTCTCTCTCTGTCAGCGTCTCACAGGGTGGACGTCTGAGCTCTCTCTCTCTGTCAGCGTCCCACAGGGTGGACGTCTGAGCTCTCTCTGTCAGCGTCTCACAGGATGGACGTCTGAGCTCTCTCTCTCTGTCAGCGTCTCACAGGGTGGACGTCTGAGCTCTCTCTCTCTGTCAGCGTCTCACAGGGTGGACGTCTGAGCTCTCTCTCTCTGTCAGCGTCTCACAGGGTGGACGTCTGAGCTCTCTCTCTCTGTCAGCGTCCCACAGGGTGGACGTCTGAGCTCTCTCTGTCAGCGTCTCACAGGATGGACGTCTGAGCTCTCTCTCTCTGTCAGCGTCTCACAGGGTGGACGTCTGAGCTCTCTCTCTCTGTCAGCGTCTCACAGGGTGGACGTCTGAGCTCTCTCTCTCTGTCAGCGTCTCACAGGGTGGACGTCTGAGCTCTCTCTGTCAGCGTCTCACAGGGTGGACGTCTGAGCTCTCTCTCTCTGTCAGCGTCCCACAGGGTGGACGTCTGAGCTCTCTCTGTCAGCGTCTCACAGGGTGGACGTCTGAGCTCTCTCTGTCAGCGTCTCACAGGGTGGACGTCTGAGCTCTCTCTCTCTGTCAGCGTCTCACAGGGTGGACGTCTGAGCTCTCTGTCAGCGTCTCACAGGGTGGACGTCTGAGCTCTCTCTGTCAGCGCCTCCCTCGGTGGACGTCTGAGCTCTCTCTGTCAGCGCCTCCCTCGGTGGACGCCTGAGCGCATTCTCAGCTTCTTTCACGATAGCTCCCCTGCGTTCCTCTCACTGTCAGGTGAAACATGCTCTGACTAGCTGTGGCCTCCAGGACTGAAGACACTGGTGGGACTCTTGAGGGTTTCTCTCTGTGTGTCTCTCTGTCTCTGTCTTTCTAGCAGGAAGACATGGGCTAGTCCCCAAAAGATGTCCTGACATGAAATTAGAAACCAAGTTAGTTAGGTCCACATAGCTCTTGGGAAATGTGCCCAAGCCACAGGAGGAACACAGCACACAGGCCCACTGGGAGGGAAGAGAAGTTGTTTCCGCCACCCCGATAATCCCTTCTGGAGATGTCAGCCTCTGATATTCCACACTGCCTTTTCCAGCTGGGCCTGCCTGCTCCTGCCTCCCCCACAGACCGTGTGGCTGTTCAGAGTGATGTTACAGGAAAGCGTTTCTCAGTAAGCGACAGTGCTTGTCAGCATGGAGCCTGGCACGCCCGCGGGGCAGTTCCCAACATGGAAAGTCTAAACTGGGCTAGAAACAAAGTACCGCCATATATGGTCAGCGTTTCATTTACCTTTCAGTGAAAACATCTAAGAAAGATGCAATTGGATTCATAATAGCTAACTTTTTCCTTTATGGAGGTACCCAAACACCAAAAAGAAGAGAGGTCATAATTGAGACAGGCACAAATTGCCTTTTTTTTTTTTTGGTGGTACTGGAATTTCAACTCGGGGCTTTGAACAGGAGCCATGCCCCCGCCTTTCCTGATTAGTTGTTTTTAGATAGGGTCGCATCTCACCCCATGCCTGGGCGAGACCCTCCCACTACCTATGTCTCCAGAGAGCCAGGGTTGCAGGTGTGACCCCTGCCTGCCTTGCTTATCCAGCTGAGAGTCGGTCTCACCCTGACCTTCACCCAAGCTGACCTGCCAGCTACACTTCCCAAGCAGCTGGGATTACAGGTCCTGGGCCTGTCTCAGATCACTTTATCTGATCAGATCACTTTATCACTGTGAATAAGAAAAACAACCAGGAGGAAGCAACAGGGATGGAGTGTAGATATTACACAATGGGATTAGGCTTCGCATAGCTGTCCCCTTGAAGCACACCTGCGAGATAGAAATTGCTATGTAAGTTATGTAGTAACTACTTTGCGTAGCTGTCGCCTTGAAGCACACCTGCGAGATAGAAATTGCTATGTAAGTTATGTAGTAACTACTGTTGTTACTTAGAAATGACAAATTTCAAATAGAGACAGAGTTCTTTGTATCACTAAAACTATTAACAGTCACATTAGTGGAAATCTCAATAATAACATTCTCAAGCTAGTACTTGGGCTGAATGTTCTTGTTTATTCCTGGTTATAACAGTATCATAATATATAATATCACTATATATATAATAATCCTGGTAGGCAGCAGGATTATTTTTCTATTTTGTGGAGACTAGAGGAGTTTTACTGTTTTGTTTAAATTAATACATGTCCAACGAATAGGATCAGAATCCATAGGATGCCCTTCCCCAAACCAATGACTATGGACAACCATTAATGTGATGCAACTTTTCTTTCTGCAGTACTGGGGTTTGAACTCAGGGCCGTGGGCTTGCTCGGCACACACTCTGCTACTGAGCCATCTTCCTTTAGATACTTTGGTCTCATGTTTTATTTGTTGAGCTGGACTTGAACTCTGATACTCCTGACCTTTGCCTCTCAGACAGCTGTGCTGGTAGGAGCTGGTCACCTGCTCTAAGGAGAGTAGAACCAAGAACGGATCCATGTGAAGAACTTCTTATCTGGACATCTCGGGCACTTAGGTCAGATAAGTGAACGGCAGTTTTTGGATTCTACAGAGAGATGTTCCTTGGGAATATTCTACCTGGGTTCTTCCCATTTCATAGCCTAACCAGGACAGAGATAATGCAGAAAAACTTTTGGGACCGATGAGAGTCCTGGCAGTTCTGCCTGGCTCCTCTCCCCGCCCCATCTCCCCCCACTCTCTCTCCTCCCCGCGCCCATGTGGAATGTGTGCATTCAGACCCCAGTTACTGGGAAAGCCGTCCTAACCCTTTGTGAGAGGGGAGGAGGGCTGCAAAGCGCGCTTTCCCACGTGACCGGGCACATGCCCAGAGAAAGGACGCTCGGCCACATTACAACTCAATCATGCTGGTTTGGTTCCTGGGGTCGAGCCCATCGCCTCTCCCCTTTCTGCTGCAGGTCTGCCTCCCCCTCGTCTCCCTGTCCGTACCTGGAGGAGTCTCTGCTGCTGTCGGGCTGGCGGCTGTCCGGGCCTCCCGGGGTCCTGAGGCGGGGGAACTGAGGGGAGGTCTGGAGGTGCAGAGGTCAGCACAGCTGCGATGCCTGTGCCCACCAGAGGGCTCTGCTGCAGAGCCTGATGATTCAGTCTGGCAAAGAATAATGCGGTTTGTTTTCAAGCCCACACGTACGACCCCGCTGTCATCAGAGACACCGGCACGGCAGACACATCCACAAGAAACTGTCAGTGTTCAAAACTAACTTGCACAATTCTAACAGGAAAAGGCCAGAGTGTAGCTCGCAGACAGGACCACATGAGGGGAAGGGACTCAAGCACTCTGCCCAAGGTAAATGGCCATCCCCTAGGAAGCACTTTCCTGAACACTGCCAGGGGGCTTCATGTGCGCAGCGCCTGGAAGTCAGCAGGGTTTGTCATCCAACTTCAAAAGTGAGAGAGCAGACCGAGCGCCTGCAGCTACTCAGAAAGTAAGTGGCACAGGTGGGACCTGAACAAGCATCGCTTGATAGTAGAACACTATTTTTAATTTTTTTATTTTTTAAATCCATTTATAATTTTTATAATTTTTCTAGGCTATCACTTACTGTAAAAATAGTAAATACAATGTGCACCAACCTTCTCAAATTTCCCACGAGTGCAGATGACATACTATCACTGATGCTGCTATCTGACAGAGTACAAACATTTCCACAACACTGAATTTTTTTGGTCAAAACTGCCCTGTGTACCCGTCTATGATGAATAAAAAGTTTTCAATCTGTACTAATAAAACAGACACAACCACTAAAACTCATTACCTAATTTTTGAGTCTCAATACAAAATTGCAGGACTTCTCAATCTGGAAGAAGATTTTTCAAGATATAACAAAGCTACAGATCTAGCAAGCACCCTCATAAGCATGGCACCTAAGGTAGCTGCACAGATAACACATCCTGACGTTGGCCGCGCTGACCACACAGAGCCGCATAATACTTGACAGGAGACTCATGATCACCGTAATTCCTATCCATAGCTACAGGTGGATGGCAGCTAGGATGGGGACTGATGCAGCCCCATTGTATGTGTGACTAAGACAAGAATGAAGAAGAGCCTATCATGATCATCCCTGACAGAAACTAAGTTACAGTAGAGCTAGTTCTCACAGGCACCATCTGGAATCAGTATTGCAATCTTGAGTTTTAATGGCTCCAGTCAGCAAACTCTAGTGAGGCATTGCTAACAATGATAACCGTTCTCTCTCTTGGATATGTTAAGTTTTAAAAAAAAACCTTTAAGAAAGAGAAGTAGGGCTGGGAAGGTGGCTCAGTGGTAGAGTGCTTGCCTAGCATGCGTGAAGCCCTGGGTACCAGGGTACCTCAGTACCACATACCCAGAAAAAGCCAGAAGTGGTGCTGTGGCGCAAGTGGTAGAGTGCTATCATTGAGCACAGAGAGGCTCAAGGACAGTGTCCAGGCCCTGAGTTCAAGCCCCAGGATTGGCAAAAAAGAAAAAGAAAAAGAAGTAAATAAAGAATACTACTATTGGCCGGGTGCTGCTCACACCTGTAATCTTAGCTATTCTGGAGGCTGAGATCTGAGGATCATGGTTCAAAGCCAACCCGGGCAGGGGAAGTCCATGAGACTCTTATCTCCAATAAACCACTCAGAAAACCGAAGTGGTGCTCTGGCTCAAGTGGAAGAGCTCTCGCCTTGAGCTGAGGAGCTGAGGGACAGCACCCAGGCCCAGAGTTCAAACCCCATGACCACAACAACAACAACAAAAAAGAACATTACTATCATTTAAAATCTAACACATACACAACTTCAACAAGCAAGCTGAAACATTCCTTATTTGGAACTTCTCCCTGGGCACTGCTAAAAATGAGATGACCAAATATAAGATGATTTGCAGACACACAGGGTCATTAACACAATCACAAGCACCATCCTAGAAGAGGAACACAAGGGTTTGTTACTCTAAGGTGGTATCACCTCTGAGCGCTAGCCAAGGTCTGCAGGTACTGCGGCGCCTGCCGCTGCACATAACCACCGGGCTGCGGCTGCATCTGCCGGAGGCGGTCCACCAGCACGGGGCTGGAGTGTGCAGCCGGATGGGCTCTGCCATTGTAGCCGGGGGACAGGACCGCACCACCGGCCTGCGGCTGTACCGTTGGCTGCAGAGGTGTCTGAGTTCCGTACATCGTGTACCCCTGGGGCATGGTCTGCAGGAAAGCACAAGGGAAAAAATCAGTGTCCCCACTTCCTGCCAGGATTCCCATCAGTAAGAAATGTGAGGCAAAGCAAGCCCCTGGCACTTTCTGCTCTTGGGTCCCTGATGACTGGAAATATGAGCAATGCTGCTCTGGAGGCCAGGAGTGAGGCTGTAAACCTACGGACTGAACTGGATGTCTGACAACTTACCAAAGTTTCAATCTACAAATAACCCTCATGTGGTTAATGTGGCTTATAAGATCAGCCGCTTATTTGTAGGGAAAGAAGACAATGGTTTCTATTCAGAAATAAACGGCCAAGCATTCATCTACACCTTCAGTGCATGGATACCATTTATGTACAATGGATCGCAAGCATCATTAATAACGTTGCCAAGATTTGTCAGCACAGGTACAGATGCTCAGTTAAAATCATGGAGTACACCCTTCCCCGTATGTGACAATACTATCTGGGACTAATAACTATGCCTGGAGTGACTAATCAGTACCAAGAAGCAAAACGCTATTAAAACACAAAGGGAGGTACCCTGGTGATGGACAGCCTGGACCAGAGCTGACTTCAGTATTCCACGCACAGGAATCTGCCTGACTCTAATGTAGGGGCTCCTCCTTCTCTAACTCTCAAGGCCTTATGCAAGCAGACAGGTTTGATGCACCACTAGGCACAACTCATAGAGCAGGTCTGTGAAGCGCCTGATATTTTGGCCCCGAAGAGTCATGGATGCTGAGCTTCTGCAACCAGCCATCAGGAGTGACCCACACAGAAGGGTGTGGGTCTGCCAGGCCCACCCTGGCTTTGCTTTCAGCCTTGGACCCAGAATGGGAATCTTGCTAACAAGATCATGAAAGAAATGGGATAAGAGCATATAGATGCAGAAATAATAATTACAAAAGAATAACTCAAGATCCATGCGAAAGCAAATGTTCCCTCTGTCTGGCATCTGTGCGTTTCGCTACACTAAGTCCACAGGTTGTCTTATTCTCTCACATCTTTCATCTCTACCTCTCAGAAGAGCAAACAAAGCTCAGCAATAGGTGTACAGTGTCGCAGGACCAGTGAGCTGCCAGGAACTGTCTTTCACCTCAACGTTACCTTTTGAGTCTAACAACTTATCACAAATAATGGTACTCATTATGACATAAATAACTGATATTATTAATGTCAACTGATATTATTTAATGTCAACAACCACTAATATAAGTTTGAGTTCATTTGTACTTTTTTTTTTTTTTTTTGGTCTGTCATGGGGCCTGGGCGCTGTCCCTCAGCTCTTCAGCTCAAGGCTAGTGCTCTACCATTTGAGCCACAGCGCCACTTCCAGACTTTTCTGCTTATGTGGTGCTGAGGAATCCAACCCAGGGCCTCACGCATGCAAGGTAAGCACTCTACCACAGAGCCACCTTCCCAGCCTCCCATTTGTACTTCTAATTCAAGAATGTTTTATGCTTCTAAAAAGTTTTATGCTCCTCAATCAATTCTGAAATTTGAAGTAACTAAGTTCTAAGTATCATTGGGAGTTCATATCCTATTAATTTTCTCTCCTACTTAAAATAAGTTGTGGTAGTATATGCCTATATTATATATATATATATATATATATATATATATATATATATATGTACACCATCATATACATATGGTAGTATATGCCTATAATCCCAGCTGTGGAGAGTCTGAGGCCAACCTGGTCCAATTCTATCTTAAGCTAATAAACAAACAAACCCCAAACCCCCACAATTCCCTTAGTGTCTCTGACACACACGTGAGTACCTGTGCCTGCTGCAGCCCTGGGTACTGGGGGGGCTGAGGAGAAGGCCGTGCTTGTGCAGCAAACAGAGCTGCCGGGTCCCCGGGCTGGGCCTGCAAAACAGACAGGCAAACTTGGTCACCGCAAGGGCCCGAGTCACCGTGGGTCCTTATCGCAACAGGTTGTCTGAACTCACAGATTTCTAAACTGCACAAACTGCTACTTCTTATCATCAGAGCCTTGTTATAAGGACAGAAGGCTGAGCATTTCTTCTCTTAAGACTATCCATGTTCACAGTAACAGCACAGATTTCAATGGAAGCACCGATGGTTTGCTCAGCAGAAGGCAGCCCAGACACGCTGGTGTCTAAGTGTTCCTCAAGTGTGAAATCTCAAACCCAGGACTATACTGCCAATCCCCTTAAGGGAAGAGAGTGTATGGCACTCACAAATGACATAGGAAATTTCATGACATCTTAGCAAGATTTCCTCACAGTAATAAAACATTCCCTACTTAGGCATGTGCTTGGGGAAAATGTGGTCCCTTTCATGACTTTAATTATCAATTACAGTATCTTTAATAAAAATTCTCTAAGTTCTTAACACTTCTAACCAACTACATGTAAAACATCTGTTCACCAGTCCTAGTTTAATTAATACATGGTTTTGGCCATAGAAAAACACATATTGCTAAGAACAGCTGTATTTGTTTTAAATTTAGTGGCAGAAGTTGTTTTATGCAGCAATCATCATTGAAAGAAGCTCAGCTTAATTTTTCCAGTATTTTTTGTTGTTGTGGTTGTTGTTGGTCATGGAGCCTGAACTCTAGACCTAGGCGCTGTCCCTCAGCTGTTCAGCTTTAGGCTAGCGCTCTACTACTTCAGCCACAGCACCACGTCTGGCTTTTTCTGCTTAGGTGGTGCTGAGGAATCGAACCCAGGGCCTCATGCATGCGAGGCAAGCACTCTACCACTGAGCCACCTTCCCAGCCCCCTAATTTTAACGAATGATGTTTACAGTGGAATTCTTTTACTACTGTCAGGTAACAGACGTCTTCATTTTTCTTACAGTACAATAATATTTTACTGTGCTGGGAATAGGTAAATCTAGAAAGAAGAAAGGGCAGACAGGGGACCAGGTCACGGAGGTTAAGAACACAACAAGCTCCCCCACCGATACCTGCAGGGCTACTGACCTGAGCTTCAATGAGCTCCGCTCCAGAGCCCAGACTCCTTCAAACTGTGATTAAGGGCAAAAATATTTCAATATTCACTGCACACTTACTATTTTTAATTATATTCTTGGGTGCCGTTGTTTACCTGACTTACGTAACTGTAACCCCTTTGTCCATGACCTTCATAATAATAAACTAAGAAATGATATCTTATTGCTGTTAAGTAGTTGCACAGAGGAGTTATCCTTCAGTTTAGGGACGGACGCCACGCTCTCATTGTTCCCACCGTCTCTCCCAACACTGACCTTCTCAATCTTCTAAGTTTGGTAGAACATGTATTGATTTTTATGGCCACTTATTCTTCAAAATCACCCCAGTAAGAAATGTGAAGGCCTGATAATGAGATAGTAAAACAAATATCTATCTCTATAGCTGTTTAAGATATCTATAGATATAAAGATATCTCAGATGTTTTAAGTCTTTTCTCTGATCCCTACAAACAAATTCTTGGAACCATTTATGAAGAACCTAAGTTAGGATAGGCTGAAGCTTCATAAATTCATCCATATATTGTGAAATACAAATTTTGACAGCTTCAACAAGAACCTAACTTTCCAAAATAGGCTCCAATGAAGACAGCCTCATTACTTGGTTCATCTCCATTTCCACATTCTTGGGTTGAACAAAAATAGCCCAGACTCCCTCTGTGGGGTTAAATCTGTTCTCCCAAAGTACCCACAGCTACTGATCCTCCAAAAATCATTAAGGGATAATTAATCAAGCAGGAATCCAAGGAATCAGATCTTTAAAAATCACTACTCAAGTCTGCACCCCAGCATCATACACAGTCCCTGAGGACAAATACCCAGAGAGCATGTTTTCAGCGCAGATGGTAATGGAACTTATGAGATCGACAGGTAGACTGCAGGACACAGGCTTGTGATCTGCGTGTGGGACCTGTCTGGATACCGAACACACATCTCTTCATTCCTCCTCTGATTACCCAGACATAGTTTTGACATTCGAGAATTCATGCCCACCATTTATGTCTAACAGTGAGCTGGAAGCACACTGGGAAGCATCTGGGACGGACAACAGTCTCTGCGCACTGAGCTGGCTGGCATGGCCTAAACTGTTTGCAGACAGCTTTGGAATCATATGTTACCCTGAAAAGGAAACACCTTAATCTCTACTGCCAGACTGAAACAGACTTCTGCTGGCTTGCTTGCTTATTTAATTAGTTATTTTTGGTTTAAGAATGCCAAGAACACATTATTTCAATTTGTGGAAATAGTTAAACTTGTTTTGGAAATAAGTAGGAAAAGTTCTTCTCTACCTTGAAATATTTTTACAAATGCTAAACATGGCCACAAGGTGAGGTCAACAGAGAGGAGAAGACTGCAAATTAACAAAAAACATTTTTATTAGCAGTAGGTAGGGTTTTAGCTGCAGTACACCAAGAACAGGTTACATAATTTATCATTCAAATTGGACAGGCTAGGTAGGACAAGAGGAAAAAGTAAATTGGGACATATGGTCACTTTCGTTACTTCACAAAAACAAATTAGGCCTTTTCATTTATTTTTAATCACTTGCCAGCACAATGTCGAATGCATAGAAAGTACTGAGCAAACAATTCTTGCTGAGGGAACAGAATTTATATTTCAGCCAAAATTAATTTATTTAAAACTCCTCCTAGTTTCCAGTGTCATATTTTGTTTTAAAAACACGTACTTAATTTTGCGCTTAGCATCTATCACTAGCTCGGTTAGGGTCTATCAAATGCTCTCCTTTTGCCTTCTTTTAACGGCTGCAAAGTAATTTTATTTTTCCTTCCTTATTCTGTTTCACTGAGACAATTGGAGAAGCCTCGGCCCCTTATTTAGTCGTGACGTGGAAAGAGTGGCCCAAGAAGCTGTGTTTGGAGGGAGTGTTTGTGGCACTCTGAGCACCGCATTGGGAGGAGCCTCTGTGGCTCTGGTAACACATCTGGGTGGCACATACTGCCCTTAGGTAAATTCCAACACACAGGTTCTCTCTTTACGTGCCTTGGGCTTCACTCTGCAAGCAACAAAGGAATCCATGATGCTTTTTAAAGCGATCACTCTAAAATCTGGTGAAGAGTCCCTGCTGTGTGTCATTAGCCTTCAGAAGAATAACTCTTTATGTTATTGTTACACGAAGTGTCCAAGGTCAAAAAGATGTTGACTCAGAGGCTCTATGCATTCATTTCAAATCTGTACAGACAGTGCATTAAATTTGTTTTGGTCAGTTGTGAGACTTGAACTCGGCCTGGGCGCTGTCCCTCAGCTCTTCAGCTCGAGGCTAGCACTCTACCACTTGAACCACAGCGCCACTTCTGGTTTTCTGGTGGTTATTGGGGGTAAAAGTCTCACGGGTTTTCCTGCCAGGACTGACTCTGAACCACAATCCTCAGATCTCAGGCTCTGGAGCAGCTAAGATGGCGGGACTGAGCCAGTGCCTGGCATATTACATTTTTAATAACAATTCTCAACAACATCCCGCATTATTCTGGGGCGATAGGACGAGCACACATGGAGAAGGGCTTGTGTAGTCTCCCGTAAGTATTACATGAGGCGGCATTTCAAATCAGGAGGCTCCTAGCCATTCAACTTCCTTGTAATGATTCCTTCAAATTCCTAACTAGTAGCTTTGAAATGGTGCTTAAGAGTTGCCAAGAGACAAGTTGTATACGGAAAACCATGGCCAGCTCTTGTCACTGTGTTTCTGAAAACCCTCATTTGGAGAACCATAACAAATGGCACACAGGGAAAGCCAGGGGTAATGCTTTAGGACTCCTCTAACAAAGGGTTTTGTTGATGATTACCAGTTTGAAAAGTGCTGCTCCAGGCTAAAACAACACCGTGCTCATTGCATCACACTGCTCTGCTTTGATCGCAGATAACAGATAATGGGAAAACTTGATAATTATAAGAAGTTTCCTTGCTGACTGGTCATACTTGATAGGTTTATAGATTCAGCACATTAACTGCTAGAATGTCCTGATTCATCTAAAATAACACATCCCATATTATAACAAACCTTTACAACATGCTTTATTCACATGTCCATAAATAATGAATATACAGAATGGATTAAGTATATATTCACTAGACTCCTAATAGGGAACGATGAGGAGGCAACAATGCCTGATAAAAAACGCACTCCTTACCTTGCTCATGTAATTGTAACCACACTGTACGGTATTTTCACAATAAAAAATGCTTAAGTAATTACTCATTTAATACCTAACTTTGAAGGATATTAAAAACAAGGGTGACAAAAGGAGAGCAAAAACACACATTCTATTAAGTTGAATACATATAAAAGTTGCCAGATTTCCTTTTACTGAAGTAACTACTAGAGAAATTGCCTATAAAGCAAGTACTTCATAACATATATATTTTCAAAGTCTGGAAATTCACTGATGGAGACTTCCCTAAGTGAACAGGTGTCAGTGTGGGAAGCTGCCTTACATTTACTCTGCACCCTCTTTTTATTCCACGGCTCCATGGGTGAACCTTCCAGTGATTAGCCCAGGCAACTCAGGCATTCTCAGCTAGCCCAGGCAACGCACTGGAGGCGGAGTCTTGTAACATACATGCACAGACCTATATGCCCAAAGAAAACACCTCTTCCATACCAGAAAGTAAACAGCCTCTGGAGCAGCCAGCGCGTGGGAGGCGATGAGAAGGGCATGGCCTGTAAGTGGGCACGCAGGCATGCCTCCACTAATGATGTGAGTTGCCACAGAGAGGAGCAGGAGCTCACCACGGGCTCAACCGCGGACGGAGATGCAGGTGCCCCGGCCTGCGCTCCCGCAAGCGACCAGAGAGGCCTGGGACGATCATGCACTGCACCGCACATGGCCAATGTGTTCATGATTCCGTGTCTCACACAGAAACCAAGTAACAGCGAA